ATGTAATAGTTAATACTTCAACCGCGTTTTTCTCGAAATGGTATTCGTCGTTTTGTTCTTGCCTCGGTTTTACCCGCCTTAAAGTCTAGCTCCACTGACGACACGACAACGACGCAGTGTCAGTACCGTATTGGCTACGTGTACTGGCTCGGCCGCCCCACCACCTCAAAAAACTCAAAATGTCGTTGTCGCGTCGTCAGTGGGGCTAAACCTTTAAGCGGTAGCTTCCATGTAGTGAAGAATTTGGTTATTTTCTTAATATAGTCTTGCACTCTGGCACATGCCATTCAGATCTTGGTGGAGGACGTGAGTAGAGCAATATCGGCTGCATAGAGAGCAAGAGAGTAATTGAATCTTGAGGGAATGTCGTTTATGAAGACATTAAATAGTACTGGTCCCAGGATAGAACCTTGAGGGACACCAGCAAGCACGTTTCTGGTTGAGAAAACGAACCCATCGGCTTTTACAAAGAACGTCTATTGGATAAATAATTTAGGATCATTATTATGATTTTGGTGTGGAGGAGGTGTAGTTTATAAACTAATGCATAATGCCACACGGAATTAAAGGCTTTTGCCAAATCCAGTAGAGCCATCACTGTTGATCTGTTGGTGTTTAAGGTGTTACGAGGGCGAACCGTGCCAGGGGCCCGACGGGCGACCGAGTCTGTCGACTCAGTCGGGATGCTTTTTAAGGAAGGAAATAAACGCGCGGACGAACCTTGTCTAACCCTTTGGGTTAGTTTCGGGAGCCGCAGGACGTGGACGACGGGGGGAGAGACAGTCACCCTTAGCCACTTATGTAAAAAGGTAGTCGGATTGGCAGGTCACCTGTCATAGATACATCTCGAGCGACTAAGACGTATCGGTTGCGAGATACTCCGGTTATCGAGCTAAGTTGGAAAGAATTCAGGGTGAGCAAAAAGAAACTTGGGACGAATTTAAGAATGGTTACAAACTTGTCTATATTCTTAGGTACTCGTACAATGTTCTTTGAATCTCTTACGCGAAGAGAATTCCTACTGCGAGTCACGCAGCGAAGTCGCGGGGAAAAGTCTAAGTCTAAACTCACACGAAAATTCTCAGCGGGGTGAGACAGCGTTTCCACGTCCTAGAACTCTGAATCCAGACTAATCCAAAGGGCTTTTTTTCCAAGATGGCGATGGTTGTTGAAGGTGGGGCTCCACAGTTAACCCGAGGTGTTGGTTCAGCCCTTAACGTCCAGGTGGAGTCACCTTCGAGTTCCGTACCTGCCAACCTCGGCCGGCTTACCGGAATACATGAGTGTAAAAATGTAGTTACCGACATCAATTGGCGGGTAATACAAAATATAGGCGTCTTGATGTAGATGGTGGAAAAATTTCAAAGAACCACCAGTGAATATTAAGTTAGCAGTAGATTTGGAATTCTCGGTCGGGTGAGAACCGGAATATGGCCAGAACCAGGATGAGATAAATACACTGCGACCAAGATGATGGGTGAAATTAGCACAGTAACACAATGTTGAAAGAGAAATGAAAC